GGACGCTCGATTGGCTGCGGCCATATTCAGTCCTGTGCAACCTGAACTGACCTGACCTGAACTGAACTGAAAAAGGGGCGTAAATGGGACTTCGCAGCTCAATTCGCCTATGCCGCGCTGAGAGCTGCTGACTTTGTCTGGCAAGGTAAGTTTCTGTTCTGTGTCCAAAGCGATTTCCGGTTATCTGCTGAATTTCTAGATTTATAGTTGTTTGAAAGTTATACATACGTCTTTTGGGTCTCACCACTGTTTCAACGTTTCACCCCAGAGCGCAATACCAAAAGGGAAGTTCCCGTCCTAGCTAGTGTTGCCAATGGGCCAACCCTCTCTCAACCGTGGGGTGCCCGGCTCTGAAGTAGACTGCCGTCTCACAATCTTTCCCTATCTTTTATCTCATTAGAGTCACTGATGATCAAATATGCATGACTCCCCCAGAGTGATGCTACGACGGCTGCATAAATACTCCTCTACTAGCTTCTACCTGATTTAGTCTCATCTTACCAGAATTCCACCTTGCAGCATGTGAGAACTTGAATACGAGGTAATGTCCAAGCGTGGTGCATAATAGAAAGGATGGCACCACAAAACAACCCCCGGGGACGAGATCAGTGCTCCTCCTGAGCGATCGACCAGCAACCGATACCACAAAGTGTAGACACCTCTATTTCTTACACGGGGACGGTATAGACGTTTGTCTGCATAAACCAGTGTATGCGCATGTGCTTCTGTGCACGCGATGGTATGGATGGATGATTGTATGTACTCACGTGTGGGTATGCTGTATGCATGCATTGGAGTACAACTTAATAATCGGCATGAGTGTATGGTGGTATGTATGCTTAAATAAATAAAGATGATTAAATCGAATCACCCGTGTTCCCTACCATCCCAATCAATGTACTTTTGCCAAATATCCCTGCGTACCTAAGATCGAACGTGAAATGAAGGAATAACATCATCAGTCAGCGGTAATCGTGACGCTCAACGGAACGTGAAACCTACAAATCACTGGCAGCCCTACTACAAGTCCCCTAGTAGAGATCAGCACGGGTGTCAATTACTTTTTACTTGATACATTAACTTGTCTCCATTCCTTCCCTCCGCAGCTAGATTCCGTCTAGACTGTTTTGTCTCCGGTTCACACCAGTCTTTCTCAGACACCACTGCCAGACCTGGATCCTTCTAAGAAGAAAACCTACGGGCAAAAGTAGTTCAAAAGCTGTCGAAGCGCATCGAGAAGATTGCAGCTCGATTGCGCAAGAAACTGGACTCTCGTTGGCATCAGCCGCCAGACCTGACCTGAATCACCACGGCAGTATCTAGTTTCGGTTACAGGTTTAATCAGGATTCCTGGCTGCTTCAATCAATATAATATCGATAATCACTAGATAATTGACCAATTTGTCATCGCTAAAACAGGCTCCTATACTAGTAAGGTTCGTGCATCTACCTGGAGCGTCCGCGATACAATTCGTCACTTTCAGCTGTTGTCAAGAGGCGTTCTGCATCAATAATCCGTCCTCTTACGGAATGCAGAAGAGCCGTGGCGTTTTCCCCTTCCGAGAGAGTTGGTGACTCCCGGCCAAATAAGTATCCTGACTGGATCTGAAAATGATCTTTGGGTCGCATGTAGGTCGTCCGTCCTTGTGCTCTTAACACTGAATTACGATCGACTATCTTCGGCTGTCTCTTCCCCAAACCTCTTCACTTCTCCAGCCTCATGTTGAAGCGCGTCGACTACGGTCAGTCGTTACGAACTTCTGGACGGGTCCCTTGATTCGCAAACAACCGAGTTACTACTGGTTAAGCCATGGTGGCGCAATGATTTGGTCGCTACCACAGGCGTGCTTTGGACCCTATGGTCCGAGGTTCGAGCCCGTCACCGCCACCGCCACCCGGCTTTTGTGGTAGGCAGCTTTGCTGTCGCCTGGTTCAATACCACGCCTAACCCATGGGGGCCTTATGTGGTTCACCACTCCAAGTCCCGGGCTTAGGTTGCCGGTTTCCATCACTGAACAGCAGGTCCTCGTGACTATGGGGTTTACCCCGTCTGCTGTTCAGCACACGGAAGTGGGTAATAAAAAAACGCGTTTTGGGGTACCGTGGCACAGGAAATGTACCGGTACATGGTAACGAAAATCTGAGTTAGAGCACGAAGGTAACGTACCTTCGTGCTGTTGAAAAGTCACGTTTACTACAATCAGTTCTGCTTTACGGTTGTGAGACCTTGAATTCGTGGGTAGAAGAAATCCGTCGCCTAGGGGTTTTCGACAATCGATGCTTACGTAGTCTGGCCCAAGTGGGATGGAGTTACAGAAGTAATAGAGCAGGTGGATAAGTTTTGTTATTAGGGCAGCTATATCTATCCCGGTGGACGCATCACGGATGAAGTGTCTGCTCGCATACAGAAGGCTCGGTTGACATTTGCCAACTTAAGACATCTGTGGCGCCGTCGCGACATCCGGTTGTCTGTGAAGGGTCGAGTATATACCGCAGTAGTTCGGCCAGTTCTGCTATACGGAGCAGAAACTTGGCCTTTAGAAAACAGGATAAAGACAGACTGTTGGTGTTGGAACACCGATTTCTACGTAGGATTGCACGAATCTGGTGGGGCAGCCAGACAAGGAATGCTGAGTTCAGGCGAAAAGTTTTAGGCAATCGCGGTCGCTCACTGCAGCAAGTGGTCGACCTCCATAGATTACGCTGGTTGGGGCATGAGTTACGCATGTCACCAAATAGGTTGCCACGGCGAGCGATGTTTTCCGAGGCAAGTAGTGGGTGGAGGAAAGCTAAGACCTGGCATGAGGGTATGAAAACCCTAACCAGGAGTCTATGTCACACAGGGCCCGTTAGGCTCCCTGGATGGGGACCTCGGGATGGTCGTAACCGATGGTTAGAGACACTGAGTGATATGGTTGGGTGTCACAACCAGTGGCGTTCGTGCATCTTTTCAATTTCTCTGTACCATTAATCCACTGAAATTTTCAATTTTCTTTTCGATTCTATTTTCAACCTTTTCTCCTAATGTTCATCCAAACGGGTAGCCGAAAGATAGCAACCAAAACCGGCGCACGATAGTGCATGGTTAATGGTTGTGCAAACTGAAACTGAAACTGGAGTTGACTCGGCTGTTAATTTAGAACTAAGTCGTCCGGTTTTTTTGAATGCACCGAACACCAACTGAGCGCATCGAATTCAGCTCAACAGGCTCCGTTGGTTAGGAAACGTTTTGCGTATGTCCGACGGTCGCCTCCCGCACCACGCATTATTTGCATTGGCCCTGCAGACTGAAGAAAGCAAAGTGGAGGCCAGTAGGTGATGTGGAGACGAGGTATGAAGAAGTGCACAGAGCGATTAGGTAAAGCTAGTCTCTCGTTTTTTGGGTTGGGGTCCAAAAGAATCCTTAACTGTAGGCTTGGAGACACTAAAGGACATGGCAGCAAGCTGACAGCGGTCGCGATCTTGCTTGCTTATAATCGGTCCAGAGCGCTTGAAATAGTGTGTATGCACAGTTGAACTGTATACTATGTGCATTGACCATAGAGGTTCACTTTCTTTCCGTCCCTAAAGGTAGGCCCAGTCCGTATCCTCCTTGCACATTATCGCTCACCTTGTATACATTGTGATTTGGACAACGATCAGTTCGCTTCGCTGTATTACGCTGTACGACGACGATAATGGTGGTGATGATGGAGTTGGGGTATAATGGATTAGGATTGCCGATGGCCATAGACAGTAGCAGATATGATTCAGAAGTAAGCGGCACGATTGTTGTGCAACTTTTTTGTAGATACAAAAGATGAAGAAACATCAAACTGTGTACGGTGACGCTAACGCTATATTTTCTTCTCGTTCTAGTTGATCTGGATTTTTCCAACTTCATTTCACTTATCTGTCCTTGAACCCAAAATTATCGTTATTGTGTTGGCACCTTACTTGTCCTCAGGCCGATGATATATATAGTGTGTGCAACAACCGGTAAAGAGCATCGAAAAGCCGTGTCGTTCTGGTTGGAATTTCTCGTTATTAGGTATATTCTGTGTCTCTGTCAGGACGAGAATCATGAACTTTCGAGTTGGGTGTCAAAACGGGTAATTTGGGGGCTACAAATTCGACGAATATTCTTAAATTGAATAAAAATGGGACAAAATACGCACAGGAAACAGGCCAACTGCGAATCAGTTAGATCCATTCTAAAAGGGCAATAGACCCCGTTTTGGCGAAAGTCAGAGGGGCACAAAAAGTGCAAACGTATGCACGCACCCCATCGGTCATTTATCATTACTGTGAGATTTATCTTGGCTAGTGTAAATTATGTTATTCGGTAATGCAAATCGACATTCAGTTTTGAACCTTAGTTTCTACAACTATTAACCATGCATTTTTATGCTCCACAAATCGGCATTATCACCGTTGACTCTCTATCATGCAGCCACTTTTTCTTGAAAACGGTTAGTAGTTGTTTGCTAAATATCTTCTTGCCTCTCAATGAACTAATACTCATTGGATATTAGAATTCATTTGTCCCTTCATGGATAGGCCTGCACGTTGACAAGTTCTACTTTGAAGATTTCTTCACCTGCTTTTTATGTTATTCGATTTAGATTTGCCGCGAACCGGCTACTGTTATTCAGGCGTTTTGAAGCTAGTGGATCAAATATATTCACACACAAGCACGCAAAAATGGTGGTCGAGTTAGATGAGGCTGCATTCCGCAAGCTTGAGTACTACTCGCTTGTGTCCAAAGTGTGCACAGAGCTTACCAATCATCTCGGCTTAGATGACAAAACTTTAGGTAAGTTGCTTACAATTACCAACTCAAACGGATTGCATTCAGCTGAGTTCGTCATTCACTTGGCAAAGAAAAACCCAACCTTTGACAAATTCAAAGCGGCGCTAACCAAGAAAGGTGCCGATTTCACAGTAAGTGACCATTCTTTTTCATGTGATGACCTCTTAAGGATGCGTTAACTGCCAGTATTCTACGTCTGGTTGGAAAGATGTTCCCAAAAACTCCGAAACCTAAGAAAGGAGAACAGTCTGATTCCACTCCACCGGAACCCTCGGAAAATGAGGTCAAAGATGAGAAAAAAGAGCTGCGAAGGAAATTATTTCCGGTTCTTTGTCTGCCAGATGAGGACGAGTAAGTTGCCAACACAATAACGATAATTTTGGGTTCAAGGACAGATAAGTGAAATG